TTCACATAACATGCTCTGTCTCACTGGCTACAGGTAAGGTGGTACCCAGGCCAAAGGTACATAATTCTAAATAGGCTGAGCACAATGCAGATGCTGTTCCCATTTCTTCTAAAAATCATGAAGGAGTTGGGCAAGGTGGTGTCTGCCTGTCACTCAGCACTTTGGAGGCTGAAGCAAGATGGCTCTGAGTTCCAGGACAGTCTTGGCCACTTGCTAAGCTCCTAGCTCACAACAACAACCGAACAAAAATGCTCAGGTACAATGCCCGAGGACTTAGCTTTGTTCTCACTTTGACGGACAAATTACTCAACATCAGGTCTGATAATGAGTAAAATCTGAAAGTGATAAGTAGTTCCAAAAGTAACACTCAAATGTGTTTTTAGTCAATTAATGTTTTAAAAGAATTTTTGTTTTCTTAAGTCTTGTATTTTTTTTTTAATGATTTTGAGGTATGTAAAAATGATCAAATGGCACAAAAAACTCTTGCTACTCATTGAACATTAGATAAGGAAAAAGTACAACAAAATTAAGATGAAAGTTCATGATAGGAAATGGACAGTAACCACTGAAGCACTGGAAGAATGGATGGAACACAGCACTCCCTTGTGAAGGCTGGTAGAGTGTACCTAGAATCCAAGCTACACAGTGAGGAAGGAAACTGTGCACCCAGGAGCTTGAGGTCTGCCTGGGCAACAAGTGTGACTGTCTCCAAAAACAAACAACACCCTCTACCCCAAAGGAAATCAAAGTCCATGTGATGGCCATAAGACACAATGAATGAGAAGAATCAACAGAGACAAGCACCATGGAAAACACTGGAAGCATGTGCAGCTTCAATCAAGGTAGGGCAAAATCCTGAGAAAACAACAATGAGCACCTGAGGGTGATGCTGTGAGCAAACATTTCACATTAGTCACACTGGAACACATCTGCTTTATGATAGGGCTCTCTGAGAAATAAAAAAAAGCAAGAAACTGACAGATTAGAGGAACAACATCAGCTATACTGACAATCAGCGAATCTGTAATTTCATTCCCGGTAAGTGTAGGAGCTAATGCAGCCTGTTATTTTATTAATAACCACTGGGATAGAAAAGGATGACATATTATGACCAGCACTGCTGAAGAAAGCAAGCAGGGCAGAGATGCAAGAGGCCCTGAGGCAAGGTAAGAGATCCAGAGAAGTCCTGCACTACGATCTGAGGCAAGGTAAGAGATCCAGAGAAGTCCCACACTCCGATCTGAGGCAAGGTAAGAGATCCAGAGAAGTCCCGCACTCCGATGAGCATGCAGACACACAGGACAATTCACAGAAAGAAAGTCCCACACTCTGATGAACATGCAGCACATGGGACAGTTCACAGGACACAGGAGAAATCTTACAGAAATGACTCGAGCCAGGAGTGCCGCTTCATGCCAGAAATCCCATCATTCAAGTGTCTGAGGTAGGGGGATCATTGAGAGTTTGAGGGCAGCCTCCACTACAGTGTGAGACCCTCTCTAGAGAAAGTAACTGAAATTATCAAAATGGGGTGTGCTTAAGGAGATCTTAAATATTGCCTCTTTCATCTCTTTGTATGCTAGACATGAGTACTGCTATACTCATTAATGTAAAGAATACACAACATCAAAGTGAGTGAGGCAAAGGGAAAAGCAAGAGCATAAAGCAGATACCCAGAAACCCACCACTGAAATGTCCTGTAGTTAGCAGCAACTAAATCTCTTCTAGGAAGATTCTTAAAATTCCTCCAAGGTGCCCGGGGGAGTTGTGCTATACTCCACAGCACTTGGCTGTGTGCTCAGAGCATCTGTGAACAATGGCAGCTTTAAGAGTGTGCTACAGTCAGATGCTTCAGCATCTCAGCCTTGACTCACTACAGCAGACCACCTGTGAGCTTACGCTTCTGCACTTGCTTGGATATTCTGGGAGTAAATGGTCCCCCAATGCAATGACTCAGTGCATCGCAGTTCTCTTCTCTAACCTTTATGTTTTTCCCCAAGTTGAAAAAGGCAAGTGCAGTCACTCATCCAAAAGGGTTAAGAAAAGTCAAGATAATATTAAAATACTAAGAAAGAAAATGGGTTTCAGGAGAGGACTGTAGAATAATATATATGAATTGGAAGGTGAAGATTTTCATGTTGCATTAATAAGATTTAGAACACAACTGAAGCTTCCGTCTTATTTCACCTTTCCAAGTTGCCCTGTGTCTAACACAGCCCATGGCACTAGAGCAGAAAGAACACATAGCACAGCCACTAATAAAGACAAAGAGGAAATATGGGATGATGGTTCAAAAGAGTGGTCTGGAAATCAGAGTATAGAAGTTTTAAAAAATCATTTAAAGATTTGGGTTATAATACTGAGAGACTTGCCCAGCAGTGTTCCGAGAAGATAGCTTACATTTGTATTTATACCTGTTGCATGGTTGTGTAGGTAAGAAACTGTGTATTTCTAACACGGACATGTCATGTATGTATGTGAGAGATAGAAAGGGATGGGAGTGGGGGAAGGAAGAGTGAGAAGGAGGGGCTTAAAAATGGAGAACTAACGGTTTTCCAATGCCTAAATAATAGAAGCAAGAAATGAAATTACTAAAACCTGAAAGATGGTTGGGGCGGGGAGGCATGAAAATTCTGAGGAAGGATGACCTCCAAACCAGAGTTCACTCTCAGGAAAACTGAGCAATATGAGAAAACCACAAAGGGATGTGCAGACACACAAAACCTCTGATTTAACAACTCGCTTTCTTTCCCTGAGAGCTCAAGGAAAATAATGCCATGGGACCCGAAGAACAGAACTCTATGGGAGACAGGTGAAGGAAGTCTGCTGGGGGCCAATGAGGAATAAGGATGCTGCAGATGCCACACATCAGGCCAGGCAGACAGTACAGAACATAACTGAAAATGGACAATCGAGGGATGCCACCAGGAAAACAACCCAGGAGTTACAATTCCAGGGAGAGATTATTGATGAATTAGGGCTAAAAAATAGGAAATAAAGCAAATGGCAAGCAGAAACATGATCTCCCCAAGTAAAAGCTATACACAAATGGCTAACATCTTCATGTATAGTCTCTTAATGACAACAGATGTTCAGTGTGGGAGGAAAAGATAAAGAACCAGGCATGGGTATGTATGCAGGAGGTGGGAATCACAGCAAATGAAAAGTCAATATGTAGTATTAATTGAAAACTCTAAAGATGTGATCATGTTACTGAGCAACATGGCTACAAAGGCCAAGAGCAAACAGAATAGCTAAGAGTTGAAGAGTTTGGAGACTAAATACAAAGAACAGGACAGGATGGTGATGGGCCCTTCTGCACTTTGTTTTTCTTACAGAGCATTTAATACTCTTAACTGTATGTGAGAACAACATGATTGAAAAATACAATTCAGCAAGCATGTAGGAAACATGCAGATAACAAAGACAGTAACAATACAAGAGTTACAGGAGCCAGGGCTTGAGACCTTACAGGCATATTCCTGTATTCTATATAACAATGCTACAGAGTAGATGCTATTGCTTTTGCATTTTATATGTGGGAACAAGAGAAAAACTTCAATACTGGGTTGCAGTCAGGCATGCTAATCCCAGAACACGTGAGTACATCTACTCCTTAGGTTCAACTTTCAACTCATTCTACAGCTATTCTAAGCAACAGTTGTAGCCATCCATGGTGTTAGGAATGCTTGTGGTACAGTAAAGCAAAGGCATTGTACTTAAGAAGCTTAGAGAGAGGGGACACGAAGAAGACACACGAAGTGGCACAGAGGAGAGTGTCTGACGACAGTCCACAGGTCACTTCTTACTACAGTGAGCAGAGATAGGAAAGCAATGAGGAGTCAGCAGCCTTCTTCCTCCTGTCCACACAGTGGTGCTAGTGGGTAGACCCTAGGGTCCAGTGATATTAAAGACAATCTACTGATAGGCTAAATGTCACCCCCTCTCCCGGTCAAGTCTTTTTCTTTCATCCCAGTCAGTGGAGAGTACCTTGCCATCCTCATGGGGTCTCGGGAAGAATCGTTCTTAGGTCTGATAATGGTCTCATTTTGCATTTGTTCTTTTATAGATTAAGCTTTAGGTTTCTGAGAAATACTTATTCAGCCCAAGGTATGATGGTTAGTTTTGCCTCATCCAATCAGTTTACACTTAGACTGAAAGAGAGAACTCTTCCAACTGTTGACGCCAACTGCATTCTTCCTGTCTGGGATTATTATAAAAAGCCAGGTCCTCTTGGTCTTGACCCTTGCACTAGTTTCCTTTCCTGTTGTGCTGAATCTGCCAGCAAAAATAACCTAAAGGGAAAGGGTTTATTTGGATCACAAGTCCAGGTTACAGTCCATCAATACTGATAAATCAAGTCTATAAGAACCTGAAGCAACTGGTCACGTCGTATCCAGTCAAGAGCAAAGAGCAATGAATTAATGCATGCATGCATGCTTGTGCTTAACTCATTTTCTTCTTCTTCAGAAAGTTGAGGTTCTAAACTCAAGGACAAGTATTATCCACTGTCAGCTGGGACTTCCCATATTAATTAACATAATCAAGACAATCACCATGCCCACTGGCCAACTACTCTCTTCCCCAAGTAAGTGTAGACTGTGCTAAGTTGATCTGCCAGTCAATCTGATCAATATTCAGGCAAGAACGACAGAACAATTGGTATCTAAGTGGAAAGGAAATCTCCAGAAACAGCAGACGAACATTTGAAAACATACTGTCAAAAGTGAACTGTGGAAAATCCTCAGCGTTAGAAAGGAAGACAAAACAGAACACCTAAGTAACTTAAGATGAAAAAGACCCTAAAGGCATTTTTAGAAAAAGACTATTTCCTTAAATTTTACCATCTTTAAAACAATATAACCCAAACGGTATATTTGTCTTCATCACTGGGAACTCTGAAATGAGTCCTGATAAACAATACACAATTCACCAGGTTTCCTGGTTGCACAGAAGGGCACGAAGCCTGTGGGATCAGACAGACAGTCCCAAATGCTTACCTGCTGGCTGTTTTCACGGAGCAGTTCTTCTTGTGTCCCCTTTCTGCTCGGTTATCTCTCAGAAGCTGATGCTATACAAAGTGTCAAGACAGTTGTAGAAACAAAAATATTTCCGTTATATTAGTTTGCAATGAGGAAAATACATTGTAATCAAAGAGACACTGGTATGCTCTGTTGTATGACTTTCTTGCCACTCTCTTGCTAATGATGCCACTGTCACTGGTGCAAAAATGCCAGCCAGGGGGCAATCAGTTCTGACAACTGCAGATCTCCCAGCCAGTAAGCACATGGCCTGGAGCTCCAAGACAGGGCTCAGGTGTGTCCCCTACTACTGCAGTGAAAACACCCTCTTTTGTCTACAGCTTTGACTGTTAGGTTCAGCTGCGATAGTTTTGAGGCCAATATGAAAGAGCTGATAATGTTTCTTATGTACATAACAGCCTGCAATAGCAGGAAATACACAGAGAATGTTCTCTAAAAAAATTACTGCCTTGGATGGAGTGTGTATATATATATATATTTCCTCCAAATGTCTAGCTATCCATATCCCTTCATATTTGCTTTACCTCAAATTAACTAGAGATAAAGTAGATGAGAAAAAAAAAAAACCAGCCAATACGTTTCACCATAATTATGTATATGCAAGGCTAGGCTCAGAAATGCACACCTTACCAGAAATCAACCCAAGCAGAGAAAGAAGTTTTACAGGTACTAACATGGTACAGGCTTGTGCTCCAGCAAGTCCTCAAGCCTCTGCTTCAATGGCAGAGTCATCCATCAAACACAAACTGTGCAAGCTCAGGCAGAGTCCTATACTGTTCTAAGGTCTAGTCTCCACCCATAAACAGATGCTGGGGACACTGAACTGTCAGGCCGTGGTGTTAAGGATGAACCAGGGAAATGCTTAGGCAGCACCGGGAGACTGGAACCCAAAGTTCTGAGGGCTTGATCTGGGAAGAGCAGTTGGGATGATGGTTATGGTTACAGAGCCTGGCTGTCTGTCTGTATGGCTGAGAGTACCAGTAACTTCTGATGAAGGGTAACTGTTAACTGTTCTGGAAAGTTCCACAACACCACTGAGGACTGAATGCTAATCTGGCCACTTTCTAGATGGACCACACTTTAGTATCCAGGAATGTTCTAGCTACGTAAATTCCTCTTAAGCATTGACTTATTTCCTCTCAGATCACCACCATCCTAGTCCAGACCATGGTTTTTCTCACTTGTCACAGCCTCCTAGATGGTGTCCCTCTCTGCAGCCTTGCTCTGACCCAATCCACTCTGAGCTATAGTCAATATGAGCTTTCCTAAATGAATCTAATTTTACTATGCTTGAAATAAAATTCAAAATCTTGTGTCAGGCTATCATGACCCTTCATAATTTGATCACACCTCTACATGAATAACTTGCTCTGCTCCCTCCTACCCACAGTCTAAAGTCTTTACCTCTATATATCTCAGCCATACTGAACATTTTACTTTGGGATATGGACCGTGCTCTTGCTCACAGTGGCTCTTTGCTTCAGTTTTTCAATTTATCAGCATCTCCAGGGCTTTGTACTATTCTGGAACATTTATACTGCTCAATAAATACTTGTTGAGTGAATAAATGAATGAACAAATAAATGAGGCAATGAAATAGGGCATGAGATTTGGTATATGATATGTAGCTGAAGCCATAGCTCATTATTGCTACTTATAGAAAACAGTGACTATTTATCTTAAGTCCATTAATCTGAAAGTGCTTCAATTTAGAAACACTTTGTACCACGAAGGCTAAATTGGTTCTGAAAATAAAACAATTAATTGCTTTGGCATTTCTAAGTCTAGTGCCTTCATGTCTATATACAGATGAACATTTGCAACACAGAGCATCAATGAGATGACACAATCTCCTTCTCTATCTTAGATCCATGGTAGTTAATAAACTCCTCATCTTAAGACAGAAGTCCCTGGAACTATTCTCCTGGGGCTGGTATCAAAACAGTTCAAATACCTAAAAGCTGCATTAAGACAAAGTTCTATAGCTCTGATTTAAAACTGCAACCATAATGACAGGCTGTACCAATCTGGTCTGGGAAGTTTCCAGCCCACCACCTGGATGAAGACAAAGGAGATGATACTGACTCTGAACTTGGTGTTCTACTCTTCTGAATACTCCAAAATTCATGGTTTGGATAGATATTGTATAAAAAAGACAATTACTGCAATAACGCACTTTATACACACAAAGACATGAAACTATCTCAGTTTACCAATAAAACCACAGATTGAAGTCAACAAAGATTTTGAAATGAAGTTCAGATAAAAAGGTTTAGATACCTGGGCCATGAGCAAGTTAATGCATGAAGCTCAATGTTTGGAGAGCACTGAGAAGAATCTAGAGAAAGCCTGGAGTAGAACACACTTGTGTCTGAAGACTGAAAAGAGGCAGCAGACTGCAAACTCATAGTAAGGGCAGCTGCAAGGGCCACTTGCTTGCCCAGAGAAGATCTCCATTTTTAATAGGCTCTTCACTGCTTTGTAGGACTTCTATCAATGTCACAGGTAAGGTCACTCTACTAGGGTTATGACTCAACAATGTCATGTTGGTTAAGAACAGCTTCTGGATAGGGTGTGAAGTGCTCCAATCCTTACCTTCAGGATTTGAGATTGGGAGGCTCAGGCCAAACAAACAGAGGCCCAACTCCCTGATTAGCCACCTGCAGGTGTACATTAGAAAATGGCCCACACGAGGACAGCACCAAATGCAGCAACCATGCACACAAGCTTAGAGCTGATGGAGTCAACAAGGAAGACAAGAGAGGGTAGCTCATGGCTTCGATGTATACAGAATGGAATCCATCAAAAGGAAGATGCATGTCCCTCTGCACTGCGGATACAGACCAAGTGTACCTGGTCAGAAGCAGCTCTGCTGGCACACCCCTTTAGGAATGCCTGAAATATCTGAAAAGTCATTTCAAGTCTCCTTAGACTTGGCCTTACAGTGTCCTCAACATTAAAGAGCAAATGGAGCACTATTTAAACCATGGCCATACAATTAAACACACATACACACAAAACACACACAGAGACACACAATACACAGAAAAACAGACATACATACATACACACATAGACACAGACAGTCGCAAACAGACACAGATGTCACCTTTTTCTTTCACCTGAGTGGCCCTCCTGTATTTCTGCTTACCTACACAACTGCCACCAGTCACCGCCCCCATCAGACCACCAGCATCTGAGTGGAAAAACGATGCTGCTTTCTATCTCTCCTTGTAAAAGTAGCGAGTATCTGACATACACTAGATGATGGGGAAGTTACATCCTAAGTGTGACAGAGGCATAATCATGGCATATAGCATGCAAACAGAAATGAGATAAAGCAATAAGGAACAGAAAGGAATGGGAAGGTGGGGAAAGTAGTGAGGTGAGGATTTTAAAAGAAATTGGATCAATACTATCATTACTTTATGTTGCTACAATGGAATAAGAGAGAAGGTGACTACACAGCAACACTCATTCAACATTCTGTGGAGAATTTTGTAATTCTTCATATTTTTATGTTTTATTACTTGGACCTGGGATTAGCCAACTGTTCTTTGTGCTATAGGTAGGTCAACCAGGGTTGAACTGAGAAATGATTATGTGTCACAATGTAAACACTGCATATATGCCTATCTGCTACCAAGCTAACTGATCCTCACTGTGCAGACTCCGTAACTGTTCACGCACTTGCTGGAAATTATTTTAGCACCCAGATCACCGTTTTCTGCGCTACGGCAGTCACTTGGTAGAACCCAGGCTCTTACATGAACCACACTATTCAGATGACTGTCCTGTGCAGCTCTTGTGCTGTGAACACTTGTTTTAGTGTATATGTCCTTTGAATCCAATACTTTTGCACTCCTGTGGCCCTCAGGAATAGTGTCTACTGCTAATAAAAAGAGAGCTTGTTATTTTAGAGAAGTGGACTGATGGGCTAGCAAAGAAAACACATGCCCGTCAAGAAAAGCCTTGCTCTGATAGGAGCTACAGTGTCATTTGTCAGAGCTTAATGTTAAGGAGTCAATGGTCTGATAGTGAAACAGAAACACACACACACACACACACACACACTACAAAACAACAACAACAAAAAAAACACAAGGTCACAAACTGACTGGCTAATGAAGATCTTGGGACCAAAAGCTGGAAGAAACTAGCTCTACACTTCCTCTAAGAACATGGCTCAGTATTCAAGAATTTAGTGTTTGAGTCTACTTACAGAACCCAACTACCACAAATGAAAACATTACCTACATTTACTAATTCATAACTTATCTAGTTAGTAGTCAAGATAAAAATGTAAAATGCACACCAAAGTTTAAGTAAGAGACAAACTGAAAATTAGTCAAAAGGACTATGTTATTTAAAAAGTGAGAAAAATTTGGTAATTTTCCTCTTTAGAAGCTATGAGCAATAAATCCACTCTTTCTCCTGGTGCAGAACTGAGCCCAGGGCCTCTCACATGCCAGCACATGCTCCCCACACAGTCACAGCTCCTTAGGATCCCATGAACTTTCAGACAGTGCTTTCCTTATGGATTGCATGACTAAAACATAACTTTATCATTCAGAAGAGCCAGGGCCCTCACAAGGAATCAAACACTAAACTGTAAGTTTTAGGACTCATCAAAATCTAACTTCTAAATAATCTCAGCACATTTTAAAGAGACAATTAATACAGTCAAGAATAAGGTAGAATACTTATTTATCTGTAAAGACAATTGAAGTGACTGCCCAGTTCCTGCCAGTCCAACTACTCACTGTGCTACCATGTACATCAAAAAGAAAGCTTAAAAATATGTCGAATCTTAGAAGACACTACTGCCTCTTCCTCAACTCAATAAAGCAGCCTGTATTGCCTGACCTTACATGGTTTTAATTTACTTTTTTGACTTGGAATTTTGTGACAATTTCTCAGGCTGACTAGGGCCAGCATCACTACATGGATGAGGACACTTTACCTGCCAAGCACTGGACCACATACAGGCACACGCCACCACATGTAGTATTTAGTAGTAAAGCCCTACATATGACCAGCTCCACAGAGGTCACCTGTTTAAGGACTTTTAGATGCTTGCTAAGTCAGAAGAAAGCCTAGCACAATTAGCTCCTTTTATAACAAGCTGTTTTCTCTCTGCTGACTCACTACTCGAGGGAGACAGACACATACTGAAGGAGACTATTCCCTCTGGGTTAGAAGGATCCTTACCTGGCCATGCTCCGTCCTAGCCCCAGGGCTAAACCAGTGGCTGTGGAGAGAAGAAGAGCTGTTAGCTGGTCCCTCCCCAGAAGCACTTGCTATCCCATGAATAGTCAGCATATGCTTTAAGGAATTTGTTCACACTAGCTACAGAACCTTAAATATGCTTTATTTTAATGGATATTTCATGTAATTCTAGACTTACACCAATTTTGACAGCAATGTAAGAGTGCTCATAACCCAGTAATTTTCAATTTAATAAGCAAACGGAGTTAGAATTACATTTCCATTTAATTATGTTAACATAAACTGCTGGGACTGTGTTCATTTTACAAATCAATTCTGGTTATAAAATCTACAAATGCTATCATTTGCCACAACTTAATTATAGCATCATTATGCCAAATTATGACCTTTTGATTATTGGAGTTATTTAAAAAGAGTTGAAAATACAAGAATATTCAACTCTGCAGCTCCGCACTAAGGACCAAAACAAAAAAATCCCACATATGAATCCTAGACCATCATGGCCCACACTTTGGATACATTCCTTTTACAGCTACAGGCATCAGGATTTTTGGATCAGAACTAGTTCTGCAACAGTGAAAACACAAGTCACTGCACAGTCAGAGCCTCCCATTATTCTACTGCCAAGCCCAGCCCTTTTGTCCCACACTCCATAGAGTCTCACCACACTTGTCAGTGGGAGTTCTTACAGCTGCATGCCCAGTACTCCAGGAGCACACAGCATAAAGACTATTAAACATCTAAGATTGGGAAACTGAGGAAGACATTGAAAACATAGGGAATACTAGAGACTCAGAACAACAGCATCTTTATGTACTATGGCCTCTTTAGAGACATGACATGGATTGTCAATTCTCATGAAAACCTTAGTTCCAGATACAGACATGAGGAGCTGGATTTCCTTGCCAAAATGTGCTGTCAGCACACCATGCTACCAAAGGACAAGAAAGACTTACATTGACTGGCACTTCCCTGGGGTCTCTCCAAGACTGCTATGCATTCTCTAGCTTCTGGGGCAGCTAGCTGGGAGGGACCAGCCTCCATAGGAGCAGGGTTTGGCTACATCTCCTCTAAGCAATTCTCCAGGTCATGGCAGGTGATGTTCCCTGGCAGGGCAGAACCCACACTGCTATGACAATGGACACTTAACTGGTATTAGTGTGCAGAGTCTGGATTAGCTACCAGCTGGAAGCAAACTTTCAATGAGAGTTCCACTGACAGCTTAACCAAAATTTCCTTTCTGCTATGGATTGTTTTAAAGCAAAGTATTTAAAGATCAAATGCACACCCTGGTTAATCATTTCATAAAAGGATTAAAAACAGCAGTCATCTGTGCCATCTCTCCCAACTCTAAAGCCCAGCATGGAAAAACAGAGCTTTTGCTCTTTTCCTTCTCAAAAACGTGCTAACTTTTGTTAGAATATAGCATAGTGGTGGTGCATAAGTGATTTTATATGTTAACAACTGGCTTCCTAGTATCATAAATGGACTCTTCACTAGCTGCTGATACTCATCAGTTAAGAGTAAAATATTCTATCACTGTTATGAAGTGAGCACTTCCTGCCACTGAACTGCCTCTACTTCTCCCACAGCTGGTGCTGACCTTACTTTTTCTCTGCTGTGTCTTTCTGCACTCCCTTCAGTCTCTTTTCATGGAAGAGTCACATCTTTATCACCCAGTGAAGGGGTGATGTCCAGAGCCTACCCTATTTTAAAGTTCGCCTTTTCTAGGGAACTTTGAGAGGTTTTCTGTGGTGCTTGCTGAACTTGTACCCTCCCATCTGCTGACTCAATCACTGCCCTCTGGGTCTGGAAACTGGGTCTGGAACTGAAGCTTCTACCATGCCCTCCTCTTTCACCATTTTTGTAGATTTTACCTTCATAGGATTTGGGTGAGAAGATTGAAAATAAGTTTTCCAAGAGGCAAACACCCTAAGAGGCAGTTTGACCATTGAGGCTGCCCTGGGATTTAGAGTGTGGAGAAATAAAATTTGGCAGAGTCTGGAAGGGTCACTGGGGGACTTTGAGAGAAGTTCCAGGAGGTGAGGTGGGAGGGACACAGGAGGGTGTGGATGGAGGATGTGAAGAAGTGAACAGGCCTACAGGAGGGGAGGAAGAGAAGAGGGGATAAACAGTGCGGGTGGAGGAAAGTTAGAGACTGAAAGAGTGGATGAGGAAGCCCAGGAAAGAGGAAAGGACTGATGAAAACACAGGTGCTGGAGTCAACTGTGGCCAAAAGAAGTTCATTTCCTCTAATAAACAAAATGCAAGAAAGAGAGTAAAGGAAGGAATGAGTGCCTAAATTCATTTCAATGAGTCTTAATGAACAAAGGCTGTGAATGAACGAGGAATGAGAGAGCTGGCAGAATATTAGGAAATCAAAATTTAGAGTCCAGGAGTTCTGGGAGGTTTTGCTCCAGAGCTGAGTAGCACACCGTGAAGCTCATTGGTCAAGTGGGCAGCAAACCTGTGCCAAGTGCTGACATGCACTGTTCATGCAAATCTCCCTGAAGTAACACTGGTCTCAGGAGCACCTCACAAGCTAGACAGCATTTAATCCCCAAACTCTGAGGTAGGTGCTTTGCAAACAAAGAAACAAGCTCAGAGAGATGAAGTGATTTGCCAAAGATTTCATAAGCGAGTAATAGTTGGAGTTCAAAGGTCAGTATTATGATTCTGAAGCCATGCTCTTCTAGCCACCATATCTGTGGCTCCCAACAGAAATGCAGCAACCAATGCCAAGAGAGTGATTCAAGAATCCAAGTCTCCTGGGAACAAGGGGCAAGTAAAGGGGAGCAGACAGCAAGGAGAACCTTTCCTGGGTCATTGGTGCGTTAGGTAGGGAAAGGCTGGCCTCTGTGTCCACCACTGCAGAAATCAAAGTCCACAGCAGGCTGTTCCCTTAGGCAGTCTGTCTACCTCACCTGGCAGATTTAGATGCTTCCTCTTCTACACCTTCAGTACATTTGCTCACACCTATCTCCTTTTACGAAATTAGGTTCAAATACTGGGGTATTTATTTACCCTGGTAAAGGAAGCTGGAGTTCTTTGAGAGAGGGACAGTATCAAGGGCAACAATCACGGCAAGGCAGCCGTGAAAATACATAGACTGAGCTATGAGAAGCAGCGGCCAATGCTGGGAGCCTTACCTAGGGCCACAACAAGTCTGGCCAAGCCGTTCTCATCTCAACCTTATCAAATCTCAATGCTCACCAGCATGCCAAGGCTGGCTTTCACTGAAGTGACAACTGAACCCAGAATGTCTGGTTCTGGGCCCTGTGTTCTTAGTCAACCTTCCTTTTATTGCCTCCAGTTTAGTGTCATGAGTTTTGATGGAGAAGGGGCTGGGATTGTGTTTCTAGGCTGTTTCTCCCCTTTCTGTACTCACAGAGCCTAGAATAATAATGAGGAATTTTAATGATCTTAATGACATTGTATTTAAAAAATAGCTAGGAGCTGGGAAGATGACTTAGCTGATAAAGTGCATGTTGTGCAAACATGAAGACCTGAGTTTGATTCCCAGAACCTACATAAAAAGCTGAGCAGGCAACATTGGCTTGTAATTCAGCACTGAGGAGGCCCAGAATGGGGGATATCTCTTAGACTTGCTGGCCATCGATATAACCAAATAAGAAAGCTTCAGGTTCAACATGATAGACAGAGACAATGGAAGATGCTCAGTGTCAATGTCTGGTGCGTACACACACACACACACACACACACACACACACACACACACCCCAGATAAGAACTAAAGGAATAAAATGGTAGTAGTGGCCTTCAAATGTGAGTGAAGCTCACATGAAGAGTAGTGCCCTGAACCAGAATGCAGTTGCATGGATGGATTTGCACTTGAGTCCGGGTTTCAGAGCAGGCTCACAGAATACTAACAGTGAAAGAAGTGGATAGCGAGGCGGAGACACAGGTCAGCAGTCTGCTCGAGGCAGAAGAGCTGGATGTGACCTCTAAGCTCAGTTCTCTCTGTGGGATCCAGGTACAGACTAGGCATATCTAGAAACAGCCTATCATGCTCAGTAAGGTTCTGCTGGATGCAGAAATCTGCACCTCCTCCTGAGACCTTGTTGCAGCCATTGTTCAAGCAGAGCAGTCTTCTAAGTACAGAGTGGAAGGGACTGGGTTTGAGGTCTCTGTGGATGTCGAGTGCTAGGTCAGTTCCTTCTCATGCTTCCACAACCCCCTTCCATAAGCACAGAGCTGCACAGCAGGTAGCAGCAGGGTACTGGATCTCACAGGCACCCACTAATATTACTCCTGGGCAAAAAGACAAAGCCCACACCAAGATTCTGACTGAGGACTCCAGGGAAATGTACTGGAGTAAAGGGTAAAAAGTATAATAAAATGTACTTTTATATACATGTTGTTAGAAATAAGTTTTTCCTTTTGGACATGGAAGCATTTTTTTTTTTTTAATAATGAGAGAAAGGGGTGTGTGTGTGTGTGTGTGTGTGTGTGTGTGTGTGTACACTCTCTTTCTCTGTGATGTTCAATATAGTAGCCATTAGCCAGATCTATCTACTTAAATTTAAAGGAATATTATATATCTGGTTCCTTTATTGAGCAGTCACATTGCAGGCCTAAAGGCACACATGGTGTAGCGACCACCACTACGTTCATTTTGGGTGTAGAACAAGTGCACTACTGTGAAAAATTTACTGGATGGCACTGGTCTAAATGGGTTATCGTTGAAAATCTAAATTAACTTTGAAAATGCCATACAATTTTTTACTGTAAACATCTCCCTTGGGAAGCACAGTCTGTTTTTGATGAGATTTGTAACTATGAAGTACACAATAGAGGTGAGGAGCTGGTGATGGTGGCACACACCTATAACCCCAGCACTCAGGAGACTAAGACAGGGGAGGCATGAGCTCAAGTCTAGTTGTATCAGAAATTATTAAAGCAAGACAGTCCAGCAACAAGAATCCATATGGCTAAGAACTTAGCCTTTGTAGCTACCTCAAATGCCAGTGAAAAAGTCTAAGAACGGGGGCTAACCTGTCA